CATCCTAAAGTGATAACCCTGGGCGACCTTGTGCCCTCTGGTCGATTAGGGCAACAAAGCTGCTAGGATGTGTCATCAATTGCTTTCAGTTTAAGGTTAGATTAGAGGCAGCAGTATGATGTTGATTTACAGTGTATCAATCTGGACTTGATAACAAAATTGTTTATGAGACGTTCTTTGGGTGTGGATCCTTGAAACCTTTGAAGTAAAGACTTTCATGTTTGAGATGTGCTTCTTATAACCATAATTTGCCTAAATCATGTATTGCTTGCATACATACACACTTATGCATATGTAATACTGTTGCAGAAAGATATCAGCGGACAAATAATTTACAAATAATCTTCATACACAAACATACAACCAATTAAGACATTCATGTACACACTGAAGCACATACATACACACACTAATGAATACAAAAACTCAAACAGAAGAACAGCTTATCCCAATCACTTATCTGCATTCACTGGCATAGACATTCACACATGTGCATACATATGGACAAAAATATACATTCCTTCATTAAAACAAAAACAAAAACACACATTTATGCACACCCACAATTACATCCCTAATCTATCTATCTATCTATCTATCTATCTATCTATCTATCTCTTTCACACCACACACACACACACACACACACACACACACACACACACACACACACACACGCACACACACACACACGCACACACACACACGCATGCACGCACACACACACGCACACACGCACCACGCACACACGCACGCACACACACACACACGCACACACACACGCACACACGCACGCACAACACGCACGCACACACGCACACACACAGAAAACCACATGGACATACAGTCAATGAAACATCACATACACAAGTTTACAGAGTAAACAAACCTCATCATCAAACACAGATCTCGAGTGTTACAAAGTGAGCCTGTAGTGAATGATGAGTCAAGCAGACACCTTACTATCTCCTACATTTCCTGTGTTGTGTGAATGTGAATGTCAGATAACCCGTTGGTTGATTCTGAACATCTAACATCCTGCATATCTCCTCTCACTCTCTCTCACTCTCTTGCTGTCGTGCATCATGCCAAGAGCAACGAGGCAGATGCTTTAAATATTGGCACACTTGGTGGTCCACTTGAGAGAGGCGTGAGTTGGGCAGCCAAGTGCCAAAGCCTTGCCCACATGAGTTCAGCAGTCAAAAGTGCAACAATGATGGAGGATGTATTTTTTTTCTCATGGGCAACACCTATATTCAAACATCCCCCCCCCCCTCTCTCTCTCTCTCTCTTTCTCTCATTCACTGACATTCATTTACTCACTCTCACTTTTACTCACACTCCTACACCTCTCTCCTCTCTCCTCTTGGTATCCACACACACACACATACACATAACTTGCACAGACAGATAGAAAGACAATCAAATCCTTATCTCTTCCCTTCCCCTGCACTCAACATAAACAACTACCTTCTTCCAAGGGCTTATTGCAACTGATGCAGAAAAGGGAGGCACAATATCCGCTTGTCACTAGAAAAGAAGGGAGCTTTGACTACTGCTGTAATACCTGCACATATCCAAGGTGTGCAGCTGGCAGCAACACTCTTTCAGATGCCAAGAGCCATCAATGTCTTATTTCTCCTTCTATTATTGTAAGTTGTTCCTCTTTCACTCACTCACTCCAGGCCTTGCATGATTAAGGTGAAAATAATGAGTAAAATGGTTTCTGAAAACCATCCCAATTTTGGAAAGTTGGCTATATTTGCAACAGAAGAGGTAAAGTGGAAACAAAGAAAATATAAACAAGAATAATAGAATAAAAACCCATGAATATATAGTTCCCAGTTTCTCCCTGACCTTCAAAAGAATGTCATAAGAAACATAAACCAAGAGTAGCCATAACACACCAGTTAAACATTATGACAATGAAATAAAAGCCAATAATAAATACAAAACTCAAATCCTCAAAACTGAGTCACTGCAAGAACTGCTCTGTGGCCAAACACCTGTGCACCCCCAATTCCACAGGTGTGCAGATGGGAGTGGGAGTGTGTCGAGGGGGGAGACACCTGCACATACAGACACCTTCATGATTCCTCTTGTGTTCACTCCCTTATGCTTCTTTTTTGTGCAGCATACAAGTATAATTACACTAACTATCTACAATTTACAATCTGATTAAAAACAAAGTTAATGGAATAAAAATCAAAGTTGCATTTTTACTTTTGCTATTGGTTGAAACAAATATAACAAATTTAATCACTATCTTATAAATATCTATCCGTATATTTATAGATACAAGTGTTTATACATGTGTAGATATTTCTTCTCCATAAAAGAACATCATACAAGAGTTCATTCCAGGCCACCACTGTAGTTTTAACCGAAGCCAAGTCAGTTCTGGAATATTTCCCCAGTTATAACAACAATAATGATAACATTAATATTACCAAAACAATAATAACAATATCAATAATAATAACAATTACTAACATATGCATCAGACACCTCAAAGATATTTGTAAGATAGGCCTAATCACTCCTCAAGAATTCCTCAAAAACTATGCAGAAAGAAACCCCTAAAGTCTGAAAACTACTTCCAATAACTCTAACTGAATCTATAAACAAACAAACACACCCATGCACATACACATTCATTCTCTCTCACACATGCAAACTCACTCACTCTCTCTCCATATTTCACATTCTGCAACAACAAGAAAAACAAAACAACACCTAACATAACTGAAACTAGACCTACACTATTGCAAGGCATCATACCCTATCAATGCACAAACTGTACCACATGCCATACAGCACAGTGTCCACAGCACCACTAATCAAGTTGGACACATGTGACACTTAGGCTATAGGGACAGAGATTACTGGGGGTTAAAATGACACCGTAAAGTAACACTGTGAAATGCATATGATCTTGTACAAGTTAGTGTTCTAGGCCTATACAAACAAAATGTAGGGCTATACACACTATATTCAGAAGATGAATGTAGCCTCAACAGACAGAACAAGTAAAAAATAAGAGAAAAATATCAGAAAAAAAAAGAAATAAGAAATGCCTAGGCTCATTATGGCAAATATCAGACTTCAATCGCTATACTAACTACATAACCAGTAAGCACCCCAACCTGAAACACCATATGATAAGAATGTAAATGAAAACTGATAATCACCAATTTGAATTTGGACTGTTTGTTGCAATTTCCTTTACCTCATTTTTCTTGTAATTTCTTGACAACAATGTAAATGACAGGCAGGGAGTATTAAGGTTATAAATATACAGCACATATCTTCAGTACAAGCTAAAGCAGTTACGATATTCATTACCTTGTAGTCCTCTGCTCCGGAATATTTTTTGTTAACATCTATGCCTAAACATAACGATAGCAAGTGGAATTATCTAACAAATCACCCTTTGCTATCTGTGAGAAAACTCTAATCTTATCAGTTTCAGACTATAATTTCATCTCTTCCTGATAAAAATACACTGCTATATGTACGTCTGAATACCATATCTACCATTATCAATACATATAAAGATAATGAGATAAAATAATCACCATAAAAATAAAATATAAGTACATCATTACAGAATTCAGTAAAAAGAACTACAGACAGAAACTTGTACTAGACCTACCCTATCTTACCTCCAAATGTCTTTATAAAAACAAATATAATACTACCATATACTATATCTCTGTCACCATAAGGAAATATATAATTAACCTGCCAATTCTAAGTAATGCGCCAAAGGAAGTGTATGTCACTGGACACTAAGAATGAAAAAATATTATAAATACAGAGCAACACCAAAAAGACAACATACATGTACATAATATTTTCTTAAGAATTTGCAATTTCAGCAAAAATAAAAAACTATAAATAAACTAAATAAACTAATATCTTTGGAATGAAGGGAATGTGGAAGAGGAGATAGATGGAGGAAAAGAAGGGAGAGGGGGGAGTGAGGGAGTGAGGGAGGGAGGGAGGGGAGGCGGGAGAGAGAAGGAGGGAGGGGGAGAGAGAGGAGGGAGGGGAGAGAGAAGAGGGAGGGGAGAGAGGGGGGAGGGGGAGGGGGGGGAGAGAGGGGGAGGGAGGGAGAGGGAGGAGGGAGGGAGGGAGGGAGAGGGAGAGGGAGGAGAGAGAGAGAGAGAGAGAGAGAGAGAGAGAGAGAGAGAGAGAGAGAGAGAGAGAGAGAGAGAGAGAGAGAGAGAGAGAGAGAGAGAGAGAGAGAGAGAGAGAGAGGGAGGGAGGGAGGGAGGGAGGGAGGGAGAGAGGGAGGGAGGGAGGGAGGAGAGAGAGGAGAGAGAGAGAGAGAGAGAGAGAGAGAGAGAGAGAGAGAGAGAGAGAGAGAGAGAGAGAGAGAGAGAGAGAGAGAGAGAGAGAGAGAGAGAGAGAGAGAGAGAGAGAGACAGGGAGGGAGAGAGAGGGAGAGAGGGAGAGGGAGGAGAGGAGAGAGAGAGAGAGAGAGAGAGAGAGAGAGAGAGAGAGAGAGAGAGAGAGAGAGAGAGAGAGAGAGAGAGAGAGAGAGAGAGAGAGAGAGAGAGAGAGAGAGAGAGAGAGAGAGAGAGAGAGAGAGAGAGAGAGAGAGAGAGAGAGAGAGAGAGAGAGAGAGAGAGAGAGAGAGAGAGAGAGAGAGAGAGAGAGAGAGAGAGAGAGAGAGAGAGAGAGAAAGAGAGAGAGAGAGAGAGAGAGAGAGAGAGAAGAGAGAGAGAGAGAGAGAGAGAGAGAGAGAGAGAGAGAGAGAGAGAGAAGAGAGAGAGAGAGAGAGAGAGAGAGAGAGAGAGAGAGAGAGAGAGAGAGAGAGAGAGAGAGAGGGGGAAGCAGGGGGTGAGAATCCAGTACTACTTGGACTACTATGAATGATGATGATATTGATAACAATATCAATAATAATAATAATAATAAATTAATAATATTATAATAATATATATATATTAATAATAATATTAATAACAATTATAATAATAACAAAATCCACTATTTTTCATTCTTCACAATATCTTCAAGTTCATTTAAATCCTCCTCCAGGTTTGCCTTAGCATGAGCCACTAATAGGGCTCTTGCTTGAACCTACCCCAAGTTGCCAGGTAGGGAAGGAAGTACACATTCCTGCGAATGGCCTCTGGCAAACTGATCCTCCCACAAAAGCCAGGAAACCTTTTTATACGTGAGGTAGCATTACATATCTTCCTGGGAATTGTTAAATAAGGAACCACTTTAAGCTCTAACTTGCAAACAATATATATATTCAAGGTGTGTTTGAGATGAAGGAGCGGGAGTTACTAATAAGGCATACCGTATTCGTATGCCTGCTGTTGGTACCGGATGTTTGTACCGGCAGCCTGTTCTAAATATACAACTACGCTGTCCGGCACAATGTCATTCAGTATAGTGGGACTCATTGTAACTGAAGGAGAGACCATTATAATGTCTAATTTCAGACTATAGGCCTTCATCATGAGAATTTCAAGGCAGTATGGGTATTAGACAAATGATATAATCATAAATCAAGTTCTCGTTACAGAGCCATGTCAGGTTAATTGGTGCAATTTTGCATCTCTTCTACTGAGACAGAAAAAATACATATAATTAGAAAGAGTAATTTACCCAGTAATTCATAATTTACGCTTCAGATTAATGACTGAAAATATGATACTCGAGTAAAATGTGAACCACAATGCCACAAAAAGTGCACAAAGAAACTAAAAGAATAACAAACTACATTAAATAACAAATGGCAAAAATAATGAAAACAATAAAACAACAAAATCAAAAGCACTAACATCACCACTCACAAAATTCCAACACATATAGTAAACAGTAAACACAAATGAAACAAACAAACAAACAGACAAACAACAATAACAAAGTCATTTCTCACTCCATTTCAACCACCTGTTTCCATTCCCTGTCCTTTTCCTTTTCACTAAGGCGATATTTGCCACTATCCAACTCCCGAAAGCCATCGAGGGCGAGGGGAACGGGGGGAGAGGCGAGAAAACACGGATTCGGGAGGAAAACCACGGATCGGAGATTGTAAATAACGAACTATGGGATCCAATTAAGATTGTTTGGTAACGCGGATCCAAAGAGAGAGGGTCATTAGAGTGAGTGTGGATATGCGAAGGAATGTGAGATTCATGCTGCAAGTTCGGGGTTTTAAAGAGAAGAAAGGGGTGGAAAATACATGATCAAGCTTCATCGTTACATCCTTTTCCAAAGCGTTTTCTCCGCCAAAACACACCCACCACTATCACTATCGCCATTTTCTCCCTCTTGCCTCTTTTCTCACGAGTAAAATAATCACCACCACTCTGTTGTGCACAAGTAATATTCCTGGTCATAGGATTCGCAACAGGGATGACTCCCGGGGCGAAAATTTCATCGAAAAGTCATCCTTTTTCAACGGACTCGAGTACCTGACATCGGCGCCATCTTGTCACTCTCTCATTCAGATCTGACTTAAATCCGGGTCGGGCTGTCGAGCAGTGGTGAGGGTGGTAATTCTACAGAGGATAGAAGAGAATAATAACTGATTAGTTTATATCAAACATTATAAATATTAGATATAAATTGTTCAGTGTCAAACACGTAATATAAAAAACGCCTAATTTCACTACTATGTAACCCAGACTTTTGCGTATATACAGGTCGTACTGAAGATTACTGATGTATATGACTTCTTTTCTTATTAATGTCTGTAAACACCATTAAATTTTAATAGAACTTCAGGAAATATATCCTCAACACATAGAAATAAAACACCAAAGCCTAATAGGATATACAAACCTATCACTACGCAACCCGGATCTCCAGTCTCCTACTTGTTGTTGTTTGCGGATATCCTGAAGACTTCCTTATTTTCGTCTCTTTTCTGCACGGACAGCCTCATTTAGAGCGGTAATTTGATGAGAGAGGGAGATGGTGTCCTCTTTTATGTGATTATTAATAGTTTGGGTAATGTCGAAGGCTGGAAATGAATAATATGAGGCGAGTTGAGTGGGGGTAGTAAACAATGGGCGTGTGTGGGGATGAGGTCATTGTTATTGTTATTTGTTATTGTGTTATTGTAATTTTCTCTCATTTTTGTTTGGCTTTCAGCTTGCGGAAGTTGCTGCGGGGAAGTCAGGCAGGTGTCGCTGGGACGGTTTGAAAGCTTGTTTTAGGTATTTTCTTGCCTAATAAAGACTTGTTTCGTTGTTGGAATAATTTTGAGATAGTGGGTACAAGAGACGTTTTCGTAATTTTTATTTTTTTATATATGCATTTTAGAGGAAGAATGGGATGACTCTTAATCAGTCATGCTCATTGTTACTCTCGCTATCATTTTCACTTTCACTTCACCTTCACTCTCACCCTCCTCTCTCTCATTTCCACCTTCACTTTCACGTCACCTTCACTCTTCTCTCGCCTACTCACTCTCCATTTCACTTTCAATATCACTCACTCACACTCATTCACTCACACACTCATTCACTCACACTCATTCACTCTCACTCACTTACATTCACTTACACTCACATTCATTCATTCACTCACTCACTCACTCACTCACTCACTCACTCACTCAATCAATCAATCAATCAATCAATCAATCAATCAATCAATCAATCAATCACTCACTCACTCACTCACTCACTCACTCACTCACTCACTCACTCACTCACTCACTCACTCACTCACTCACTCACTCACTCACTCACTCACTCACTCAAACACCCACCCACTCACTCACTCAAACACACACACACTCACACACTCACACACTCATGCACACACACATGCATACTCACACACACTCACTCACTCACTCACACTCACACTCACACTCACACACACACACGCACACGCACACGCACACGCACACGCACACACACACACCACACACACACACACACACACACACACACACACACACACACACACACACACACACACACACACACACACACACACACACACACACACACTTGTTTATATTTACATTTGCATATGCTTATGTACCTAATATTTATTCTGTGGATGTACAGTACATGCATACACATACACATAAGTTGGGTGAAACAGAACAAGGAAGGTAAACATTAAATGATGCATATACTTGACCAACAGATCCTATAGGTCATTAGTACAGGTTTTGTTCATCATTACCATCATAAATAAGTACGGGGAATAACAGGGAGGAGTTGATGTACATTCTTACCGGCTGCAAGATTTTTTGTGTTTTTTAAAATCAAAATCTTGCTATAGTTCTATGTTTGGAAACCATTACTCCAAGTAAGAGTGGTTGTTATTTGCAAAGGGATTGTAACTGTTGGTAATGGCTTCTTGTACAGGTCCATGTATTAGAGAGGATGTTCTCCTCTTTAGGAAATGTCTTCCTTTTTAATGATATTTCTATATATCAATCTAGCTAGTTTACCTTAGTTCATCTAGGTTTGTATGTCTCATTTTAGATTTAATTTCATCTATTTCTCTCTTTCCAGATTTACCAATGAGTTTTACAGACGTGAGCAATGCGTCTTACGTGAGAAACGGCCCATAGCCTCCTCAAGCGTGTCATGGAGGGTTACCCTTCAAAGGCGCAAGGGGACGTTTTTGATCAGGGTAATCCCTCTCAACACTTTGGTTCGGCATCAACAGCCGTTCCTGCCACACAGACCATTAACACTGCTGTGACCTTCATAGGCCAGACACACTCCTCATCTGGACAAGTAAGTTTAAGTCAAGCTTTGTTGTTTATTGACTGGTAGTGCCCTCAGATGTTGAAATGACAGATTTGATAACTTGTAAATCTGATGATGTCAAAGGGATAATGTGACTTTTTCAGTTCTTCCTCTCTTTTGTTAATGAGTGAATGTGGAGTAGTACTATTAAAGTAATTATAAGTGAAATGTGATTATAGAAACTTACCATAAGTTAGGTATGTAAAATGTAGTTACTTCAGGTTTAACAAGATATATGACTTGTAATACACATTGCAAGAGATTGTGAAAGTAAAGTTTTGATAAGGCCAAGCCTAGATATTTTGAATATCCCATAACATGATAAAAAGAAATTGAGTCTATGATTGATACATTTTTAAACAATAGTAGTTGGTATTGAGCTTTAAAGTTTTTACTTCTCCAGAACACTAGAGAGAAGTAAGTTAGTGCTTATTGTATTGACTAATAGAATATAATTAGTGCAAATTTATTTCCTGCATAATTTGCTTCAGAATAGTTATAAATTTGTTAAAAGTTTTTATGTTGTCACCTAAGATTAGGAATAATTAAGATATGGGAATCTCCTATTTTACTGTGTCTGATTAAGAAATCAGAAAAGCAGGACTTTAAATTCCTCGTTATATTAAGAATATATGGAGTTTATGCTGTTCATGCTGTATTTTATGGCAAATCACTATCATACTAAACTTGACAAGAATCAAGTAGAGTAGAATGAGTTTTGTAGTTATCCTTCTAAATTCAATTAGATTATTTGTATAACTTGATTTTGCTTAATTTTTAAAAGTAGCTATATAGCATTATGATCATGTGTGCTTCTTGCACCTCAGAGTTATCTGCAAATATGATCGAATGGAGGCGCAACTGCTGTGAATAAATATGCATTTTTTAAAAGAGGAGAAGAGTATGCACACCAAGGAGTATTTTGTTTTATTTTATTGATTTTTTCTCTCCTGTATAATGGTAATTAGCATTTTTGTGTATATTTGTCAAACATTCAGTTCTGCAGAATGTATTTGACAAAAAAATCTCAGTTATTGATGCCAACCATTTAAAAATGATGTACCATCTGTTCATATCCTGAAAGATGTAAAAAATCTGTGCTTGTCATGAAAGGAATTTGCCATCTGTGTTTGTCATGAAGGACATTTACCAGCTGTGCTTGCTTTGGTCATGGCCCAATGAAACCTGATACCCCAGTGAGAAAGTTTGTGTGTTGTTAGAGATGACTGTTGCCTCAATAGCTTGTTGATAGAAATGTAAATTTTTTATGTACATAATTTTTTATGGACAGATTTTTTATAGTTGTGATATTGTTTTGTAGAACCCATTTAGGTCAAAAGTGTGAAAATAGGAGTGACATTTTTGTGCTTGTATCTAGCTTTTGTTGAAACATAATCCAGATTATTCATATAATGAAACTGTGTGAAGAAGCATATTAGGTGGCAGTGTAGAATATAGTTACTGATGATCTGTTTCTCAGCTTCTGCTCTATGGAATTCTCTTTTGAGTTGACAAATACACAGAAAGGGAAACATAGTTAAATTTGTCCTTATGATCAAATTAGGTAATATGTGATATTTATATGTTATTTGAATATTGGCTAGAGCTTCATTTAACGGAAGTATAGCATCTGTTTTTTCAAAACTAATGATAAAGAACTTTTTGAAACAATTTGAAGTATCTTGTAATGTAAAAAAACATCTCACTGATATAGAGAATTTTCTCTGCTAATGTAATTTTAAGGGCTGAAATTAATAGCTTTATTAAGAAAAAACATATTTTATTTTCTATATAAACTCCTTTACATTCAGCTCCTGAAATGCTAAATTCCAAGAAGTGCCAGCAAATCTATTCAGTTCATAAAGGTAGGAAGGAAAGTTCACAAAACCCAGCAAACATCAGAACTCATACTCGGACACACTACCATCCCCAACAGCTGGAGGGTAATGCAGGAGCAATGGCCACCCCAGGGACGAGCCTACAGGATGACTTTAGGGGAGAAGCCAGTGTGGGAGGGAACACAGGACGCAAGAAGAAGAAGAAGCAGAAGAGTGGCGAAGAGACATCAGGAAATTCGGTCAAACCTGACCTGATGGAAGAGGATGAGCTCGTTGACGCTGCGATTCCAATGCTAGCTGAGAATCAAGGTAGGTTGACCTTTTTGCTTCTTTGTCTTATAGTATCATTATAGATATAAGAAGATACAAAGACAAGTAGAAAATTCCAAAAGAGATACGAGAGAAGAACAGTCTTTCAAAAGTAATATCCAGTTATACAAAACAATCAATTGGTTCTGCTCTTTCAGGTGTTGAAGAGCTGCTTTATCCTGCCTCACTGCCTCCTGCAGGTGGGACATTAGTTGGTGGTCAGTACCTCCTCAACAATGCCCTTCTGGATCAGATCCTTGCAGAAAAGAAAATGGTGAGAGACTTTTGGTTTCTTTTTAGATCATTATGGGTAGAGAACGTGTTTTAAAATAGGCTTACAAAGAATAGTATATTATCATGCGCACACATAATTTTGTGTTTGTTTGTGTGTATGGGCTTAGGTGTGGGTGGTGTGGTACAGGTGTGGGTGGGTGGTTGGATGCATGTATGCGTGTGTGTGCCATTTTGAACTATTTTCTCTCGTAGAAAATACACAAAGTAAAGACAGTATATTTATGGTATGATTCAGTGGCCAACATTTAGATTTTGGTTCTTACTCTACAATATTGACCCCTCGTTCAACGAGATGTAATACTTTTACGTAGCACCTAGTTATGTAGAATATTAATCACAGGTATGAGTTACATATATCTTTTCCTCTAGCATATCACTGCAATTTCACCATTTGTCTCCTTTATTGTGCTCATTTTGATTATGGTGTCAGATGTTCAGTATATAGGCTAATTTTTTTCCATCTTTATTGCAGCAACTCATGCAAAGTCCAGAAGTGATGGAGTTCTTGAAGAAACAGATAGGCCTGGCCAAGAAATAAGAGAAATCTTCCTACTTGTTAGATGGATAGCTTTGTGTGAGAAAGGTTTTTCTTTTCTTTTTACTGTATAGCCAATTATTTATGCCTTTTATTTATGACTGTGGATAATCTGTTGGTAAAACTTAGCTTGTTATCAGATGGTTTTGGTTATTTGGATCTGAATGACAGGTGGTATATGTAATAGGGTTATCTTGTTTTTTTAGTTTGTTTTTTTAGTTTGTTTAATTGAATTCGTATTTATACAGCTTGATTGGGATACTATAGGGAATATCTATGGCTATTATCAAGAAGATAGTTTTTTTCATATATGTGTTATTTTTGTGGTTAATTACCCTCATCCTTTGACTGCCTTCAATAGCTCTTTTTACAAGTAATTTTTCCTAAGAGAGCTATATACTTAAAGGATCTTTATGCTTCTTTCAAACAAAATTTTCCTGATTTTTACTTTAAACCCAACAGTTTTGATCACCTTTTCTTTACTTTCATTTCCTTGGTGATAAACTCTTGGTATGTATACACTTGCAGTCACTGGTATAGTACTTTGCTACCAAGTGTGTAAATGCTATCGTGCTATAGAGTTTTGAAATGCTATTAGATGAAAATCAGTTTGAAAGTTACACCACTATGGTCAAAAGTTATATAACTCACTTTTGGCATACTTTTTAACATATTTTCCATTCCCTGTCTTTTATGGTCAAATAGTATGGTGGAGTCTATGTTTTTCATAATTTATTGCATTGCAGGATTACAATATGAACTTTTGAAAGCTCTTGATTCCTGCCTTCTATAAGGATATTATCCACTTTAGTTGGGGTGTCATGAGGCACCACCCTACTCAGTACTGCCAAGGGACATTATCAAGGGACATTAGCCTGCTGATGCTCAGGGATTCTAGATTTTTTTGCCAACCACAATTTCTTCCTCTTACATAGTTAGCAGTGGCTCCTCTCCCTTTGCCTCAGTATGCTTCACAAAGCACCAGGACGCCATGATCTTAAGTCTGGTGTGCTGAAAAGGGGAAGAAAGTCCTTTGGATTACATTACTTTCTGCATCATAGGGACATCTGTCATGACTTGCCTCGTGACTGAATAGCAGCTTTTAAGCTTTGCACAACCTTGGATACTTCTTCTTATGACTGTCTTGCCACTCATAGGTGTGACATAAAATGAATTTCTTCAGATTAGTGTGACTTTGGAAATCAGATGAACAACAGTGTGTCCTTGGTAAGCCTTTGGGTTTAGGTCTCACTTTTCCTTGTTATGCCTGTGTCTCAGGATTTCCATATTATCTAGTATGGACTCATAAGTTTGGTGTGTTTGTTTGTTATACTCTAGTGTGTTTTAAGAGCTCTTGTAAAAATTGAACAGGTAATAAAATAGGAAAGTAAGATTTTATCATTATGTTGCAGGAGTTGTCATGATATAACAGATGAAATGAAAAAAATCTTATGTAGGAGATGGGTTTGTGAATGACTGTTTAGGATTATTATAACAGCAGTAACAACTAATCAACAACTAAAAGTAAATCTCATGAAAATATAACAATGTAGTTAATAATATGCCTAAGAAAAAAATTAAAGCCAGGTTTGTGTAGGTGATACTCCAAAATAAAAGGCAAGCTATTGGCAAAGTTTAAATTTACCACTTTGAAAAACCTTTTTCTAGTTGTTTCCTCATAGTATGCATGCTTGTCAAATTCCAGTTATAGAAATTGTTCTCATACAATTTTTCTTGAGTATGGTGGGCTTTGCTCCCAAATTGTTGCAGTATCAGATTTTTTTTATGAAATAGTTTCTTGACATTTTATCCCTTTCTATACGAAGTACTTTCCAAACATTGTAAGTTTTTCACCTGCACTAAATACCTGATATAAGAAAAAGAAATTATGAAGTGGGGATACAATCTTCATACAAAATATGGCTTAGAGTAGAGACAGTACAAATCAGGAAATACAAAGTGTACACAGAATATCCAATACAGTAGAAACTGTATAGGTACATTTTGGAGTATATTTGACATACAGAATACCTAATTCAGTAGTGAATCTATTTGTATATTGTGGGAAGCAACATCTCATACCATTGGAATCAAGATGAGAGATAGTTATTCCGACTCGTGTTTTTAAGATATTGGTGCCAGGTAATCACACTGTCCATAGCCGTTTTCTTTTGTGCAGTTTCTTTACATGTAGATGGCTCCACAAGCTCTCACTGACGAAGAAGTCAACGAGTAGGCCAGCGTGACTTCTTCGCCTGATTTCCCATTTCGTTGAGTTTTGAGAAGAATCTTTGTTTTTTAATGTTACTAATACCAATACTGTTGTTATTATTATTATTATTATTGATACACTAATTATGATATTGTTAATAATACAAATAGCAATAAGAAATAGAAAAGAATCTTTCTGAAAATTGAGGAAAAAGGTAAACAGGTGAAATAGGTACAACTACCAAGTGACTTCTTGGTGACTAAGCACTTGTGGAGCCAGCTATGTGTAAATGTAATCAATAAACTAAAAGCATTGTGGACATGGCATGTATTTTTGCTATCTAAGAATCTTTGGGTTTAGAAATTACTTCAGGTCTTGAAGATGATAGACAAATGACTACCTCAAGTATTGGTGGTATAGTTGTGTACATCAATTATTAATTTCCTGCTTCTTCAGTGAATTAAGATTTTAAAAGTCTGTGTTAAAATTGGCCTCTCCCTCAAAGTGGAGTAATTATTATCACAGTTTTTACAAAGACAGTTCTTTGTAATATTTATATTATTTGGTAAATTTTGCTTTGATTAGTCTCTGTATGGCTTTTATTTTTATTTTCATTCTTTTGTTATTGATATTAATTTTGATGAGTGCATAATGAAAATATTGGCATTATTTTTATTATTATTGTTTTGCTATAGTTATTTTTGACTCTTTAGCATTTATATTTCGTAATGTATAAAATTTAAATTTAAATGTAAGTAGGACCTATGTTATCAGCCTTTTTTTTCCGGAGGAATATATAAAATTTTAATGTGCCATGAAGTCTTTTGTAGAAAAAATTCAAAGCTGTCATATTTTCCAAGGGAATAATGAAAACAAATAACATGTTGCAAATAGTTAATAAGTAATATTTCACTGTCTTAACTCTTACATTTTGGTCAATACTGAAATATTTAGGATGTGACTGAAGTGGCACAGTGAAAAAGCATCTGATATACATAATTTTGAGAATTGTATATACATGAAGTTCATTGCAAGTTTATAATTCTGTAAGTGCCATTACTGTAACATTTATTAGAATTCATTTGTTTTCTACTAATTCTGTTGTATTTGTATATAATACACAATGACTGTACTTAATATTTTGTATATTATTTATATGTGCATCATAACAGGTAATAAATGTAAGTTTTTTGTCAGTTTTTACTTCATTAGTATTATCTAACCATATACGGAAATTATACTTATTCAGCTGGGGGGGAGGGGGTTAGGAGATGGAGACTGAGGCCCAATGTAGGGGATTACTCCTACCTTGGACCTCCACTCTCCCCTCAACTAATTTTGCTTGTTTTTTTCTTCTCCCTCTTCCCTTTTCTTCTCTTCTTCTGTCCACTCTATAAGGTATGAGAGCCATGTATAAAGGATGAAAGGCTGACCGTGTCAGTCCGTAGCAGCCTTCTTACCTTTCTTTCTTTCACTATCTGGCATCTATCATGTTTTGTTCTATTTATTAATTCATTTTTACCATTTTCACCACAATCCTTTATCATAGTACTTTATGAACTTAACTTACCTGGGGGCTTTTCCCCCCCAAGCCTTACCATATCACTATATGTTAAATATACTGTGATTGACCTTAAAGGAGCATTCCGAATGATAAAGTTAATACACGTTTCCTTGCACTTTTATCACATTTTTTCTTTGAAAAATTGTGTTGATAGATGGCTTACTTACTCTATTCATGATATAATAGCATATGTTTCAAATAAGATTGAATATCAGGAACGCTCATTTGTAATCAATATTATTACAAAATATAATTGGTCTAAATTGCAGCAGTGTTGCTTTTACTTGTCTCTGAAAACGAGGATGGAAGGATAATGACTATGCTATTGTTAAAGGATTTTTATTGTTAAAAGGCAGAGGAAGGCACCAGTTTGAAGAATGTTATTAATTTTTTTATAACAAGTTGTATAATACATTAATAAATGGACTTGTGCGGCTTTTTTAAATTTGGGTTTGGCAGAGTGGAAGAGAAAAAAAAAAAATCTTAAAACTAACAACTTTGGCACTAGATATTGGGCCTATAGGCTGTAACATGAATAAATCCATGATATAAGAAATAACAAACAGGAAACAGATATTTATAATTACTTTTGTATATCCTTATTTCTCTCAAGCTTTAACAAAAGTAGCAAGAACATCAAGTCAAAAAATCATAATTTGATAAAAAAAAACCCAATTCTATTTATATTTTCATTTGAATATATGAAAAGCTAATCTCAGATTACAATATTAATAGAAATACATGAAACAAATGTTCATTTTAATATTGCAAGCATTTAACACTGAGAATCTTCGTGACAAAAATATATGTCATGGTTTTAACAAAGTAAAATACAATGGTTCCAATAAAGAAATTCTTCTCAAAACTAATTTTCTAGAAAGTGATCTGGTTAATTCATGTTACATATAATTCACCATATCTTTCTAAAAATTCTGAACACATGTTTTTGTGTAAACAGTCTAGAAAATACACAAAAGAACACTTAATAATAAAACATTAAATACTGTTACATTTCATTACACAATTAGAAAATTAACCAGTGGGGCTCACATCTTCACAACCACGATGAACAATACAGGAGCACCATTATGACTTTCTTTTTTTTTTTTTTTACCTTTTTTCAATATACATTGTATTATTTTTGCATTTCAGGTATATTAGGTTAATTTAAGCTTCAGTGTCTAATTATTTACATTTTTCTGAGAACCTGTTATCTCTAAAACCTACTGATAAGCTTCTATTTTACAAATTTAGCATTGCTGATTTCTCGTATATTATTCCAGTGAAAGGATGACTTTGTGGTTGATCAAAGAACTCGACACAAAAACAATTTAGACAAAAAGATGAGCTCATTGTATACTGTTTAAACTAAACACAGTATCTTCACAATATCAAAAGTAGACAACTGTAACATTTCCAGTTCTCCATATAATATAGCTATGTGATTTTCCTTTTTGAACACAGAAAGGATTTTAGTTATGATGACAGTGTTAGAGCTGTCTTCATGATCACCTTGTAAGCTTAAAGCTCTATAACCAAAAGAACACATTGATTTTAGTTTCAAGAATTGAACACAATATTCTAACATAATAAATGCTCCACACAATTAAATGCAGGATTCTGTTATGGAACCACTACTAGGAACAGCTATGGCATACAAAAATACATTATACATGGCTGATAACAATGTAGGTATGGAAAAAAAAGAAAAAAGAAAAGAAAGAAAGAAAAAAACTGTCATTACAATATTCCTTGTATCAGAGAGTAATCCTGATACTTAAAGCTTCTGAGAAGACAGTATACGTTGCCCCTTTTTGGAAAGATAAATTATTGTTAATTCGAAAAACAGAATAGATTTTATAGTTATATAAGATATGCAGACTTGTAAAACACCGATTCAGATGAGAGTCTGAACTTCTTTTAAAAACTGGAATTAAAGTAAAGCCGGGGTTAATTACATGCAGTTGCCACAAAATTCAAATGATGTTATTCTCATGTTCACATAAAAAAAAAAGAAGAAAAAAACACAGATCTTAAACCATCAAACAAATACTACTATCTTCTTCAGTTATGGAACAACTCTGTATATTCAATTTAATTTAAAAAGATTTGTATATTTTTTTATTTGAATGGGTGAAAAAAATAATTTCTCCATTTCATTATTGCTATACTGAGGAGTCCCATGAGGCACTTGTATTATCATCAGTTACTGTTTTCTCTATCTCAGTTTTCTACTTACTCATTTCTTCCATTCACAACATAATAGCAGAGTACATTCCATCCTACACAAAAGGACACAGACCAAAACCCAAATTATTCTTTCCAAAGGAAATGAGAAGGACGGTCGCATTTCAGGTTTCAGCTGGTGATTTGGATAGGACTTGTGCGTCTTATTCTTAGTTTGTATTCTTGTAGCGTGTGAACAGGTTGTAAAGAACACGGAGAGTGGACTTGAGATCAGCATTCACGATGTCTGAAAAGAGAAGTTGGGATATACTTTACCTGAAGTTTGGTATCTGGTAACTGATATATGAAATAACCCAGTAGTGCTGGGTATACTCTCAGCTTTAGTTTCCTTTTATGTAGTAAACTTACATAACTGACATTTTGCCATTCTAGCATCTATAAATTTAAACTTAAGTCTTTAAATAGCTACATAAATATAATATTCATAAAAAAATCTAAAATTTTCCCTACATAATTAAATTTCTTTGGTAAATCAATTTGACACATACAAAAAAAGAATTTTACTTTCTATATAAAAATAAAAAATTCTACTTACCCTCAGGTCTTGCTTTCGGCTTAGCCAGACCTGCATCCATCATCAATTCAAATGACTGAGAGACATTGTGCAGCTTCTCATCAAATGTCTGAAGAGAGAGGAAGATTACTTCACAGGTGAACTATTTATACTGTAACTTAGTCTTTGCTGTTTAATGAATCTTCAGTCAATATGAGAACATCTCTAACTTCTATTTCTTGATTTGTCCAAATGGCAAAAAGAAAGTAAGTGCTTAATAATGTTTGATTACTATATTTTCCAAATATAATTTGCAGTAGAAAAAAAGAAAGAAAAAGAAAGAAAGAAAGAAAAAAAAAACAGCAGCTCCTCCACTCAAACAGGCACACCCTAATATCCATACAAATGCACCCATATAGCAGGCACAGAATTCCAGCTGTTACCACTCACCTTGGGTGTCAGGAAGAAGTGGTGCAATGGGACAAAGTACCCCTCGAGAAGGCCCATGAGGAGGCACAGGTAAACACCATCATTGAATTCCGTCTCAATGTCGCTCACTTCGAGGTTGATTTTATTCAGCTGCTTGTTGACAAAGGTTACGAGGGACTGAGGGAAGAACATCAGAATAAGACTGGTTAGAATAAACTAGGATGAGAATACAGGATAAGGATAAAACTGAGAAGACTGAAAAGATACTAGAAACTCAAGATATTAGGGATTCTTAAAAAGAAAGAAAGTAAGAGAAAAAAAGGAATGAGAATACACTCAGAATAACTATGAATAAGAAATTGAACACAAAGAAGGCACTGACTATAAGAAAATTAACAGATGTGAATAACTGCAAATGTGTGTAAGTTCTTTGTAACTGTGAGTGACTTGTAATCTTACAAACTAAGTTATATTAATAGTACACAAAATAAATCGAAAAGAACTCAACCACAGATCCTGTTGAATCTGTCAATATTCATCAGCAATATTTGTGCAAATTGATAAAATAGATAAGTAACTAAATAAACAGCTAATATTGTAAACAGAAACTAAGATGACAAATACAATTTTGTAAGCATCTAACATGCTAAATACACTAACCCTCTTGACAACAGCAAGCTTGTCAGGTGCATGATCGAACAAGGTGTCGAAAGCATCTCTCTCGCATCTGAGACCTAAGTCGTCGTATGTACCTGTCAGCTCTTCTGCCACAATCCGGTGATTGAGCTGCCCATCGCGTTTCTGCATGGTGAGGAGAGGCAAAAATTTTAAAGTTTATTCTCTCTATTGGCAAGCAGCAATCTGTTCTTTTCATAAATCTGATGAGATAATATTTAGACTAATAATAAAAAGGTGTAAAAAATGATTGGCCAGAAGAAAAAGAAATCCTAAGTTGATAGAAGAAAAAAAGAAAAGAAAAAACATACTCACTTGCACAATAACAACATTGATAATACAATTTTCAGGCAGCCTGATGGGGGCACGGAAGTGGCGGGCTAATGCCACAAGGAGGTGAAGAATTGCAACAATATTTTTGGAGTGGATGGACTCGACTGACCACTTGTGAGGGCCATAGCGACTGAGACCCAAGATCTGTGAAATAGTTGTAGTTATTCTTTAAAACACATGCTTTTGTAATCAGAAACTTCTGTATTTGCATGAAATAAAGCATTTACTCATCTACAAAATGTCTGGTAAAAATTATCATAGATGAACACTTTAGAAATAAAGAAATACAAAGTGGGATATTGTATAGGAAAAGTGTACGTAATG